TTGTTTTTTTTTGGGGGGGGGTCCCAGAGCTCTCGAGACGGCCCGGGCCGAAACGGGCCGCGGCAGGTTCAGGCGGTCCCAAGAGGGCCCAAGACGGCCCCAAGAGGCTCCGAAAACACCCAAGATGCCCACACGACGGCCGACGAGGACTCCAACGCGCTCCAGGACGGCATCAAGAGGCTCCCCAAAGGGGGCCCTGAGAGACACAATTCATGCATTTCCCGATTTCGAAATATTTGTGCCTTCTCGTTTTTCCCGTTTCCCATCGCTCCCTCACGGCCTCGGAGGCCCTTCAGATCGTTCCAAGACAGCCCACGAGACTCCGAAGAGGGACCCAAGACGGCCCAGGAGGCCTTCCAGACAACCCCCAAGAGCGCCCCACGAGAGGGCCCAGAGAGGGACCGCGAACCGATATTTCGAAGCCTATGGCCCCAGAGGCCCCCAGAAGGCCCCCGAAGGCCACCAAGAGGCTCCCAATAAGCCCCGCGAGGCCCCCGTGAGGCTCCCAGGAAGCCCCAAGAGGCCCCCTAGGGGCCCCGAGGGAACGCCCAAGAGGCCCCCCAACACACCCCAACAAATCGTGTCCCCAGAAAGCCTTTCGGGCACATGGTTCATCATCATGGGCCCGAGAGTCTCCGGAGGCTCTGAAATAGCATCACGCTACCGGAGAGATGTTTGGGAAGTTGATTGGGAACATGACTGATCGCCTTCTCGCGGCCCTCTTCGGATCGTTTCGCACAAAGTTGCCCCAAAGGCCCTTTTGAACCGTATTGTAGCACCCGGGACGTGTTTTGGCTTCTCTGGACGCTGGGGCCCGAGTTTGTGACTTAGTGATCGGCTTCAGCCGGTCCTACGGATGGGGCCAGGAGATCCTCCAGAGGAGGTCCAGAAGCGCTGGATGGATCAGGGGAAGCGTCCATCCGACGACGACGACGAAGACGAAACGACGAAGGTGACGACGACGACGACGACGACGACAACGACGACAACGACGGCGCGCCCCAAGAGGCGACGACGACATCTCGACGACGACGACGACGATTACGACGACGACGGCACGCCCCAACAGGCTCCCCAAGACGCCCCCCAAGACCATGTTTCCAGAAGACCTTTTGGGAACCCGATTCATCAGGCCCCCGCCCCCCTACGCAACCATCTTCTCCGAAAACTTTCAGGAATACGGATTGACACGCATGGCGCTCTCATTGCCCATGATGCGTTTAGCGTGATGGACATTTCTCCATGTCTCGTTCAAGCCTCCTGTGGTCCATCACTTTAGTGGAGCAGTGAGCGAAGCGTGCGCGATGGTTCTGATGTGTACATACATACACGTTTACACTTACATATGCATATACCTATACATATACATAGACAGTTTTATGTCTATACATATTTATAGACATATACATATATATATGTACATATGTATATGTATTTGTATATATAGATGTGTCAAGTGCATCGTGTCTGGTGCTTGTTGGTCTGTTGTTGTTTATGAGTGAAGTGCTTGTGGGACAAAGGAACAGCACACGGAAGGAAAACAGGAGAGGGGAGGACGAGAAGGATGAGGCGGAAGTGAAGGAGTGTCTACGAGGAGGAAGGAGGAAGTGGTACCAGGAGGATGAGGAAGAGACGTTGTGGCGGGAATTTAGGAGGCAGCGGAATCGGAGCGATGAGTCGGGTCTAGGAGGGAGCAGGAGCCGGAGCAGGAGCAGGAGCAATGGCGAGACAGGGCGGCACCGCTCGGCTCCTGGCTCTTCGCTGATCCACGCGCGGGAGTATGCCTCGTTGACTGGTCGTCGTCTTGAAGCGAGATGTGGGGGGTGGGGGGGCCCTCTTGGACAGTGCACCGCGCGCGCGCGAAAGATTCCCCTGGGGCCCCTGGTTAATCGCGGCACCGCCCGCACCGCAAATTGTGGTTTCTGCGGCTGACGCTCTCAGTGTCCTCCGTGCAAATATGCGGAAGCGGGCCAAAACCCACCTTGACGGACGGCGGGCATATGTCAAAACACGTTTTGGGGGCGTCTTGGAGCGAAATGTGGGGCGTGCCGGGGCTTTCTTGGACAGTATACCGCGCGCGCGCGCGAAAGACTCCCCCAGGGGTTGGCAAGCGCAGCGCCGCTTGCACCAGCAGTATTGATTTCAGCGGCTGACATTTTCAGTGTTCGCCGTACGCGCATAGGCGAGCGGACGACAACCCACGTTGACAATCGGCGGGCGTATGTCACAATGTTGAGAGGCGTCCCGGAGTTCCCTTGGGGCCTGTTGGGGGCCTCTTGAAGCAACCAGGGAGCGTTTTGGGGTTGACGGTCGAATTGTCCTTTCGGGTTCCTTCTCTGGGCCCTCTTTCAGGGCTGTCTTGGGGGGTTTGGGCAACGTTCTTGGGGCCATCTTGGGTCGTCTGGGAACCCTCACAAGGGGGCCTCTTAGGCCGTCGTGTGGCGATTTCAAGTTTCTTGGGCCGTCGTGGGCGCTGTCAACGCACAAGAGGCGAATGCGCTAACAAGTCACGTTTTCTCGAATGAATGGGGCGACGTTTGCTCTTTGAGGCTGTTTTGGGGCGCCTCTGGGGGGTTTCTTTGGCCGCTTTGGGGGCCCATGGGGCCGTGTGGAGGCCAGCGCGAACAGTTTGGATCGATATTTCGGCGTATCGCGGCCCTGTTGGACCACCCGTCTGGAGGGCCATTTGGACTCTTGTTGGCCTGTTTTTGGGCTCTCGTTTTGGGGGGATTTTTGTCCCCCTTTCGAAATCGACCAGGCCGCGTTCCCGGGGGCTGTGCTTGGGGAGGGGGGAACACCTCACGCGCCGATGAACCCCAAAGGGTCGGCGGATTCCCAACGATCCTGTGGTGGTGTTGGGTCCTCGCTCTGCAGAGACAGCGTCCCGCGTCTCCTCCTCTCCTCGCCTCTCCTCATTCCTCCTCCCCCGTTTTCCCTCCTCCCATCCCCGCCCTTGCCCGCCGCACCAGTCAACAATGTTTGCATACCCCTTCACATGTCGCTCAGCCTCATAGGGAACACCACCGAAGGCCCCGGTGGCGGCCAGTGGCGGTGTTCGCATGCGTCTCCCCCAATCACAGCAACGCTTCGTTGCATTACATGGGCCTTGGGCGGAGCTCCGTATGGGATCACGAAACGAGTGAGGGGTGCGCCGAAATAGTTGAGTGGTGCGGAGGGCAGAAGCACGGATGGGATGAGGGAGGAGGGGGAGGAGGAGTGAGGAGGAGTGAGGTGAGACGCGGGGCGCCGCTTCGAGGATCCAGCACCACAGGATGTTTGGGAACCAGTTCGAAATCCAAACGAAACAACAATATGGAGGCGAAGGAGGAGCGGGGTGGCCGCGGCGAGGCCAGCGCCAGCCGACCGCGTGGCAAAGCGAGAGGGTGCCAACGGAGGACAAAAACCGCAGGCGAGCGAAACGTGGGACAGCAACAGCATGGAAACGGCACAAGGAAATGCGAATACGGCAAGACAAGGTGTGGCTGGGAAGCCTGGTGGCACCAGCCTCGCACGGTTTTCCTTGTAGGTCTGATAGGAGTGTCTTTCACCACCACCACCACCAGAAGTTGGAGGGTGAGGGGGTCCTCCTCCTCCACCTACTCTTCGTCGTCCCCCTCCTCGTCCTCCTCGTCCTTCCCCCATCCAACTTATGGTGGTGGTGGTGGAAAACAGGCCCATCAAGGTCCATTGGCAGATCATGCTAGGTAAACAGGTATCGCAGAGTCTCCCGTCGAGAGGGGGCAAGGCAGAGACAGGAAACGACAGGACACACAAACACACTTGATTTTTATTGTTTTACATTATGGATTATCGGCCGCCCTGGGTCCTTCAAAACAAGGTGTTTTGGTGAATGGTTCGCCGCATTAAAGAATCGGAGTTTGGTCCCCTTCGTTCGGAATGGCGCTATTGTGCCACTGCGACCCACACGTTTGAACCATCTGCCTTTGTTGTTGTTACTCTTCTTGTTTCCAATCCTTGACCTTTCCCTGGTCCTGCTGATCCTGTGTGTGCTGCCAGTTCGCCTCCTGCTCCTGTTGTTGATATTTGTTCCTCCACCTCCTACCTTATCAGCACACTCACTCTTGTCCAAGGAACTAGGTGTCCCGTTTTTGGTCTGCGCGTCACACGATGGGGCCCCCTTGATATAGCTATGTGCGTCACACGATGGGACACCCGGCTTCTCTAGGACACTCCAGTCTTCATGCAAAATTGTTCGGGCTCAATGGGGAGGAATGAATTGAGCGGGAGGGGGCTAGGATGCCAGATATGGCGCGCGCACCTAGTTATTATGTTTGTGTTTGTATCTCGCCCTTTATTTCTCTTGTCCTGCCCTCCTTTCCTCGACCTCGATGTGAGAAACCCTGGGTGGAATTGGGTCGTGAGAACCCCAGCGACAGTCGAGACCCACGCGCGCCGGTGGACGACTTGGGCGTCTTCTGGTGATGCCGTGTTCAGAGTGTTGCACACAGCGTTGCGGACGCTGCGCCCCGCGGCGTCACCTGCAGGCTCGGAGAGGCGTGCGAAGGGTGGCCGCCGTGCGTGCCATTGAAACGATGGCACGAGGATCTTCACTGGCACTTGCACAAATGCGTTGAAAGCAACGCCAGAGAATCGGCTCACCATGTTCGCATACAACGACTTCCATCACGACGAGTCATATTGGGCGCGCGACGGCGCCGCACGCCCACCCCGTGTCTGGGACTGCTTTTGAGGTAGTGCCCTTCGTTCTTTCGTTCGTTCCCCTCCTCCTGCTCGGCGTCCGCCTCGTCCCCATCCATATCCATCCGTCCTCCCCATCCCTCGTCGCATCCCCGAGAACCCCCACCTCCCTTGAGCGTCCTAGCTCTTCCAACTTTCCCTCCCTCCTCAGCCATCCTTCTGCCTTTCGGTCGGGCCCTCGATCGTCGCCTCGTGTCGCATGTTGGAGTTCATGCGAGACGGCACCCCACGTCCAAACCTACACAGGCGGCGTCCGCGATGATCAGTGGGAGACGGCCCCCATGCTGTCTGACCGCGACTACCAGGGCCGCGTCGCACTAGGCGCCTCCCGATGATCCCCGACCTCGGATCGAGGATCGATGGTCGAGGATATGTGCGTCCAGACGGCTTGATTCTTGTTGGGCTTCTTGGAGAGCCCCGTGGCCACGGCTGGATCCGCCTTCAAGTTCTGGTCGGAACGCACCTCTCGTGAGGGGCCGGGGGAGAGTAGGAGGCCACATGCGAACCCTACCCCTACCCCCCACGATTTCTGAGGGGGATGGTGGGGTTCACTTCGTTCGGGAGCTCCCGAGCGGAGTGAGCCCCACCCTCCTCAGAAAATCGTGGGGGGTAGGGGTAGGGTTCGCATGTGGCCCCATAGAGAGGGCGCGGTGTGATCCTGGGCAGGAGCTCGAACCAAAAGGGCTGGCTCTTCCACGGGCGATGGAGCCCGGCGCACGGCCGAGCCGAGGAGGAGCAGCGGGAGGACGAAGAGAGAGAGAGGGAGGAGGAGCCCCGGGGGGGAGCAGCAGGCACGTCGGAGGAGGGCGGGAGAGGGGAGGGATCTCGAGAGGGTCGCCAACGCAGCGGACGGACCCCTATAGGTAGGGACCCCCCGATGGGTTTCGGCGGGTTTCGGCGACGTCGGCGGCCCCGTTGGTGGGATCGCCGGCGCTCGTGCTGCCCTCCTCGGACTGTCCGTCCTCAACCTCCACCCAGTTTTAAGGCTCCCGTGCCCCCCCCCCTCGCCGCGTGCCTCGGGGCGGCGGCGGGCAGAGCTCAAGGGGAGGCGCGCCCCCGCGGGGAGACTGGCGCCCAGCGCCCACCTCATGCCGCGTCGCGCTGCGGCGTGGCAGGAAAGTAATGGACGAATGGGATGCCCCATCCCACTCGTGAGTCAGGATGGCGGCAGAAAGCGGGGCGCTGGTGCTGGCACGGGCGATCATTCAGCAATCCCGAGCCGCCCCAGCCTTTCTTTCGAAGCGTGGCGGCTCACCACCCGTGCGGAAATCAGCGTTTCGAGGCTGTGTTCCACATTCCCTCCTCGGCAGCGACCCTGGGGGTGGCGCCGTCGAAGGTGCTCATCCATGGCCTTGCAGGCGTGGGTAAGGAGGTCGTAGTCGATGGCGTCGGCCTTGTCGCAGGCCTCGTCCTGGCCAGTGTTCGGAACCGCCAGATGCAGGGTGGTCCGACCTGCTCCCAGGCGGGCCAACTTGACTTGCACCCCAGCCGTCTTCCAAATGTAGTCTGCGCGCTGGCTGCTCTTGTCAAATATCGGCCCCCGCTGCAAAGTCTGGGCCTGCCTGGCTGGCACCGATTATGTTGTTCTCTCGCTCCTCTCTCTGTGCGCCGGGACACAGCCATGCTGGACTGATGCACGGAACGGTGCTTTGGAAAGGTCCGGCTGAATTCCAACAGTTTTTCAAATTGGATAGCAGCAGGTCTCCTTGGCAGTATGTCGGGCGTGTCCCCCTACAAGGGGGATTTTCGACGAAAAATTAAAACATACCCCAACAATACCCCGAAAAGGCAAAACAAATACTCAGAAAATAGTCCCCAGACTATTTGCGGACTACTGTTTGATAATGTTTGGGGCATTTCTTATTCTTCGTCGAAGATCCCCCTGTAGGGGGACAGGCCCGACCTGACCTTGGCAGTGCTCCGAGACGGCATGCAGAGCGTCTGCTTGATCCTCGTCGCCTGCGCTCTCGACGAGGTCTGCCCTGGGCGGGCCGCGCGCCGCGCGGCCTCCCGCCTCGCAAAGGGGAGCCAGGCCTCGGTCTGGCGCCCTCGGTCGACGCGTATAGGTCGTGGGCGTCGTGGCCGCGGTCGAAGCGGACCCCGAGCATATTTCCTCCTCCGCCTCCTCCTCTTATTCCTCCTGCTCTTATTCCTCCTCCTCCTCCTCCTCCTCCTCCTCCTCCTCCTCCTCCTCCTCCTCCTCTGGTTATTCCTCCTCCTCCCTCCGCCGACGCCGCGCGACCCTGCTGTGCGCAGCGCCCCTCCCCCCCCCCGCCCCCCCGCCTCCTCGGAGGGACGGAGGAGGAGGAGGAGGAGGAGGAGGAGGAGGAGGAGGAGGAGGAGGAGGAGGAGGAGGAACGGGGGAGCGCGAAGGGTGACATCTGAAATGCCGTTTCGATGGATTCTCGAGGTCTGAAGCCGCAGAGAAGGTGAGTCACAAGACGCGCAAAAGACCACATGGGCTTCACCTTTGGCCCCCCACCCTGGGAAAGTGCTCGGGGACCGGGGGGGGGCCCCGCGCTGCGGCGGGCGGCGGCGGCCCTCGCTGCCTCCGCGGTCCGCGGCTTGGCAGGAGGCGGCCAGCGCGGAGGCCTGCCTTGCCGATCGGGAGCCTCGAGACGGGGGTCCATGCAAGGGGGGGTCAGCCAGAGCGCCGGATCCTGCAGGATCCTGCAGGGCCAGGATCGCGTTGGCCCGGGTTTGGGCGCAGGATCCTGCAGGATCCTTCGCGTTGGCCCGGGCTTGGGCGCAGGGTCTTGCAGGATGTCACAGGATTCTGCAAGGCCTGACTGACCCGGGTCTGGCTTGACCCGGGTCGGAAGATCCCCGAGCCGAGAGAACGTCTTCGGCAGCTTTGCTGTTTCCGGAGCCTGCGAGAGCGGTGCGGTGGCCTGCCATCTCCACCGCGAGCGCAATGAAGAAATGCTGAGCCTCGGCGCGGACGGTGATGATGATCTCATCTGTTGTGGCCTGCCATCTCCACCGCGAGCGCACTGAAGAAATGGTGGACCTCGGCGCGAACGGTGGTGATGATCTTATCTCTTATCTGATGCGCACGGGGCGGTAGAAACCCTCCTCGTCGTTGTAGCAACCCTTCTCGTTGTAGTTGGTGCCCGTAGGAGCGTTTCTGGTCCCCGTAGACGTACCTCTGGCCCTCGTTGGAGGTTCGTAGGGAGTCTGCTGGTCCTCATCGGAGAGCGTCTGGTCCCCGTTGTAGCGCTGCTGGTCCCAGTAGGACCGCTGCTGGTGTACTAGCTGGTCCTCATAGGAGCGCCGCTGCTCCTCGTAGGAGCGCTTCTGGTTCCCTTCGTAGCGCCGCTGGTCCTCGTAGGAGCGGTTCCGGTTCTCGTCACAGCGTTGCTGGTCCTCGTATGAGCGCTTCTGGTTCCCGTTGTATGCCGCTGGTCCTCGTAGTCGCGCTGCTGGTTCTCGTGAGTGCGCTGCTCGTCCTCGTAGGAGCGCTACTGGTCCTCGTAGGAGCGCCGCTTGTCTTCGTAGGGGCGCTGCTGGTCCTCGAAGAAGCGCCGCTGGGCTGGTCCTCGTAGGAGCGCATCTGGTTCCTGTCGTGGCGCTGCGGGTCCTCGTAGGAGCGCCGCTGTTCCTCGTTGGGGCGCTGCTGGTCGTCGTACTGCTGATGCCAGTCATTCTGATTGGCGCTGGGTGCCTGAGCGTAGGGCCTCACCTCAGCGCCATATTGATTTGGCGTGGTCTTGCTCAACGGTTCAATAGCGAGGTCTCTGGATGGTATGGACAGGCCGCTCCTGCCTGCGTAGGCTAGACGGCTTCTTGCCGCTAGTCTTGGATATCCACGATCTTCAGGTTGACGATGTCGACCGTGGGGCTGGTCTCGCTTGAAGCGGTAGTTTTCGTAGTTGTTTGGCGGTGGCGCACGCCGCGGCCGCCATCTCGCGGCACCGCCGCCGCGCTCGTCTCCGCCGCGGCACGGGCCCGGCGGGCCCGTTCCCCTGGCGCGGGGGGGGTCCCCGCATCTGGCTCCTCTTGCCTCCTCTTCCTCCTCCTCCTCTTCCTGCGGATTTTTGGAAGATCGCTTTCTGCCGATGCTGGCGACGGGGGTGTTCAAACCCCCCTCCCCCTCCCCCCCAACACACAGGGGGGAGGGTCCCGACCCCCCCCCCCTGAAAATTTTGCTGGGGGTCCACAGCCCCCATCACCTGGGAAAATTACTTAGTGAGGGGGTTCCCGATACCTCCCCTGGGAACAACACGACGAGGACGACGGTGGCGGCGGCGGCGACGACGACGCTCGACGACGACGACGACGCTCGACGCATGACGAACGACGCACGATGCACGACAACATCGACGACGACGACGACGACGACGAGCAGAGTAGAGTACAGTAGGCGTAGAGTACAGTAGGCGTAGAACAGAGTGGAGGGTGGAGCCGAGTCGAGTAGGGCAGGGGGGCGTACGGTAGGGTAGGATAGGGAGTAGGGCAGAGTCGAATAGAGTAGAGAGGTGCATATCAGATCAGGGTAGAGTAGAGTCGAGTGGATAAGGGTAGATGGGTAGAGTAGAGCAGAAATAGGGAAGATCAGAGCTGAGTAGAGTAGAGAAAGGGTATAGCAGAGCTGACTAGAGTAGAGAAAGAGTATAGTAGGGTAGAGTAGAGTAGAGTAGAGTAGGAGCACAGCGAGTAGAGTATAGTCTATTAGGGTACGGTAGGGTAGAGTAGGGTAGAGTAGCACAGGGCAGAGTGGCGTAGAGTAGAGTGGAGAAGAGCATAATAGAAGAGAGCAAAGAATGGCATCTACTAGAGAATGAGTTGAGTAGAGTACAGTAAACGGTAATCCAAGTAACGCGGAGTAGAGTAGGGTATGTGAGAGTACGGTAGGGTAGGAGTAGAGTAGGTTAGAGTAGAGCAGGGCAACTAGAGTCGAGTAGAGAAGAGTAGATGGGCAGAGTAGAGCAGGTATAGAGTAGCACAGAGTAGAGCAGAGCAGAGAAGGAGTGGGAGTGGGAGTGGGAGTGGGAGCGGGAGTGGGAGTGGGAGTGGGAGTGGGAGCGGGAGTGGGAGTGGGAGTGGGAGTGGGAGTGGGAGTGGGAGTGGGAGTGGGAGTTGAGTGGAGTAGAGTAGAGTAAGAGTAAAGTAGAGTAGAGTAGAGTAGAGTAGAGTGGAGTACGTGAGGGGCGTTTGGGATGAGTGGGGTAATGTGGCAGAGTAGGGTAGAGGAGAGTAGAGTAGAGAAGAATAGAGAAGGAGAGTAGAGTAGAGCAAGAGCAACTTCGAGTAGAGTAGAGTATGTTAGGAGGGTACGGTCGGATAGATTGGAGCAGGGTAGGGTACAGCAGGGCAGAGGTAGGGCAGAGTAGTGTATAGTAGAGGAACGTAGAATCGAGTACTAGGAGGGTCTAGTACAGTAGGGCTCTGGAAGGATACTGAGAAAGCTGGATCGAGCCCTGGTAGCATTCTATCTAAGCTGGCGCCTGGCGCGGGCGTTGGCGACAGGTGTGCCGCTGACGTCGACGTCGTCGACCTCGTCGACCTCGTCGACCTCGTCGTCGTCGTCGTCGTAGTCGTAGTCGTAGTCGTAGTCGTCGTCGACGTCGTCGTCGTCGTCGGCGGCGTCGGCTTCGTCGTCGTTGCGGGGGGGGTGGGGGGGGTGTCCTGGGCCCCACAGTGATTTTCCAGGGGGGCTTTGGATCTCCCCATTACCTTTCCCGGGGAGGGGGGGAGGGCGGGTTCAAAATTCGGTTCTTCGGTGGCCGTTCGGGACGATGCGGGTACGCCCCGAACGCGCTGGCGAGGCGCAGCCGCTGAAAGGCATCCCGGAGCTTGAAGATCGCCGAGGACCGACGAAACCGCCCGAAAGTCTCGAGCGTCGAACCCGAAAACCCTCCAGGCTGTGCCTCCCGCCCCGTCCCGGGCACGGCGACGGCCCGCGAGGAGCGCGCTGCGATCGCCACAGTGTGTGTCGGAGGTGGATCGACCTCCTGCATAGACACGTCGATTAGCGAATTGGCCGTTTTCGGTTCGCGAGAGGGCGTCGCGGCCGTCATGTTTGCGGGTCCAGGTCCGTCGGTTTCGGTCTCAGGTCGTCGTCACGAAAGGGTGGTTAAGGGTGGTTGAGTAAAGGGAGGTTTGTCCACCGCCGACACTAGGGACCGAAGAGTGACGGATTTCTCGGATCCGCGCTGGACCCCCACTGGCGGCGCCTCTGGCGCCGCCCCTGGCGCGCTCCGCGCGCCGGGGGGGGGTCCAACGCGATCCAAGACATCTGCGCGGACCTGCGAGTTTTCATGTTTATGTCATTCTCCTGATTCGATTTATCGGGGACCCCCAAACGGGGTGGTGACCACACCGTGTGGTGAGTCGGTGGGGATTCGGGGTCGCACGGTTTTGGGACTTGGGTCCTTGGGTCGTTCTTCAAGGATGGCTCGGGCGACTTGGGTCTCCAGGGTCCCAAGACTGTGCGGTGACGGACCGTGCGGTGAGGTCTTTTGGGGTTCCGAGGACACCGCACGGTCTGTCACCGCCTTGGGATCCCCAAGTTTCATATTGACTCGATTGCATTCGCGCGGTAGCGGTCTGCCTCTTCCTTACCTGTTGGTTGCCTGGGCCATTCACGGCAGTGGCCCCAGGGCTCCGTCGCAGTCGCGTGCGCCATCCCATTCGCTATGTTTTTGCAGTTTCTCGTTTTCCGCTCCCTTTCCTCCTCCTCGTTCTGATGTCCTCTTCCTCCTGCTCCCCCTCCTCCTCCCCCTCCTCCTCCTCCTGCCTTTGGCCCTCCTCTATGCGACTGGTTCGGTGCAATCTTCTATCAACAGCACGGCTGCCTTGTCCTGCAGTCCACGGTGTGTTACATGAGTTTGCCAAGGTATTGCAGGTCGGTTCGCGATGCGTCCCCGTTTTGTCTGGCGAACTTTTGGTTCGCAAAGAATTGGTAGCCGCGATGTGTGGAGATCATGTGGCCGTGTTCTCCCCTCCTCCCCATCCTCCTCCAGGAGGATGAGGCGAAGGAGGAAGAGGAGATAGTTGCTTCACGGACGTCATCGTGTGGTTTTTTAGATGTTGTCGGCCGCCTTTGTATTGTTCGAGCTCTTCGTGGTTTCCGGATTTGTTCGGGCACCTTCCGCGGAATCGGGGGACTAGGGAGGAGGGGCGAGGAGGACGACGCGGTGGAGGAGGGAGGTCCGTAGCCATTTTGGCTCCGGCCACAGGGCTCCAGCGGGCTTGGCCCGGGCTTGGCCCAGGGTGGCCCGGTGGTGCAGTTCGCTTCGCCCGTGGAGGTCTCGGGGGTGGACAGACCTCCTACCCTGACACGTCGATTAGTGCGTTGTCCGTTTTCGGTGCTCGAGAGGGCGCCGCGGCCGTCATTCTCCAGGCTTGCGCCCGCCAGGTTTGGGCCCGAGGTCGTCTTCACTAAACCACGCCTTACGAAAGGGAGGTCTGTCCGTCCCCCCGGAGGTCATGGACCAGTGCTCGCGGCGGCTCCCTCGGCGCCCGGAGGGACCAACAAAATCGTCGCAGGCGTGCACGTGTCGGAGGCCCACGCGGAGCTCTCGGGTCGGCGCTGGCACGCCCCCCCCCGTGTCCTGCGCCGGCCTCGACTTGGCATCGCTCGGACGTGTGCATGTTTTCTCGGCGAGAGCCATCGAGGAGCATCCTGGACCATCGAGCAGAAAAAACACACGCACGAAACCGAAACACGCACGGGAAACGGACGTCCGAGCGACGGCAAGTTGAGAAGTCGGGTCGGGCGTCTCATGCAGGCGGGCCGCTGAACAAGGCACCCTCGTCGCTGGGGGGAGGGGCGCAGT